CTCTTGGAGGAGAGACGAAACATTTCATTAGAGAAGAACCCGTCCAGAGGACCTATACAATTTTTTTCCTTTTGATTTCTCTGTAATAGTTCTTCTGTTGATTCAACACCAGATTTAGCACACGTGGATCAGCACACATTTCTTTTTCGTTTTTGAAGATGGCAGAGTCGTGGAAAGATTCATTGGGTTTGAGCCCATCCACAGCCACACACAGGTGTGAGCCTAGCTGAATCTAGACTTGTCAAACTTGTTGTGGCCAAAGTTAAGATAATACTAGCAACATGTCTGGCAAACACAGCGGGCTCCAGGCGCACTTGAAAAAACAAAACCCACTAATATCATCTCCCATTCATCTCAAAAATTCTTGAGAAAATAGTTGCAAATCAACTATGTGAACATCTGGATAGAAATAATCCATATGAGGAGTTTCAGTCAGGGTTTAGAGCTCATCAWAKCACAGAAACAGCACTGGTTAAAGTTACTAATGATATTCTCATGGCTTCAGACAGTGGACTTGTGTCCATTCTTGTCCTGTTAGATCTCAGTGCTGCATTTGATACAATTGATCACAATATTTTACTACGTAGACTTGAACTTGATATTGGGATTACAGGAATAAGATGGTTTGAGTCTTATTTAACTGATAGATTTCAGTTTGTTAATATTAATAATGAATCTTCTGCTTACAGAGTTAGTCATGGAGTTCCTCAGGGTTCAGTGCTTGGACCAATCCTCTTTACTTTGTATATGCTTCCATTAGGTAAAGTTATTAAACAGCATGGGATAAATTTCCACTGTTATGCTTATGATACTCAGATATATTTATCCATGAAACCTGATGAATCCAACCACTTACTTAAACTACAAGCATGTCTTAATGACATAAAAACATAGATGACTCTTAATTTTCTGCTTTTAAACTCAGATAAGACAGAGGTTATGGTTTTTGGACCTGAACATTTTAGGGATCAACTTTGCAGCCTTTCACCTCCTCTGGATGCATTAATCTGGCCTCCAGTTGATCAGGACATGTCTTTTAACCCCCAGATTAAAAATATTACCAGGACCGCCTTCTTCCACCTGAGTAATATCACTAAAATTAGAAATGTTTTGTCCAAAAATGACGCGGAAAAACTGATTCATGCATTTATCACATCTTGACTGGATTACTGTAATTCTTTATTATCTGAGCATCCAAAAAACTCTAAGAAATCTTCAGTTAATCCAAAATGCTGCTGCTAGAGTTTTAATGAGAGTTGGAAGGAGATCATATTTCTCCAGTTTTAGCTTCTCTCCACTGGCTCCCTGTCAAATT